TCTGTGTAAAACCCTAATATGCAAATGGATCTAATGGGGAACAACTGGTTGCTATGATATGACTGACCACTAGGGGCAGGTGCTCAATGCAGGAGCTGCCCCCAGCCGGCAGGCCCTGACTGGTGGTTGGGCCGCGGGGTGGGGCCAGTGAGCGGACTGCTCCAAGGTGGATGTGAGCTGGGGAGAACCCCCCATCATCTGGCTGGTCGCCTCATAGATCGGCCCTGATCTCCAGGCAGGCCTAGGGACCCTACCGTGTATGAATTTTGTGCGCTGGGCCTCTAGTAAATAATAATAGTGTAAGTTCAATATTTTTGGACCTAGTTCCTATCCTGCCTTTTGCCCACCATTCCCTAAGCCCTAAAACAAAGTTTATTCTAATTAATTCCAATGTGCATGCTTACTTAAGGTTGAAGATAACTAAGCTGATAAATACTTAGATCTAATCAATACTTTATGCTAAGTTGCAATTAATAAAACTTTTATATATAATTTTCAGGGAAAGACTCACTGACCTTAGTGTTTGTGGAGACCAAAAAGGGTGCTGATTCTCTGGAGGATTTCTTATACCACGAAGGATATGCTTGTACCAGTATCCATGGAGACCGATCACAGAGAGATAGAGAGGAAGCTCTTTACCAGTTTCGTTCAGGAAAAAGCCCAATTCTAGTGGCTACAGCTGTGTGTATATTTTTATTTTTTCTTAAGCATATTTTTTTAAAATATATATATATATATTACTGATATTTTTTTTACAGAGAGGAAGGGAAGGGGGATAGAGAGTCAGAAACATCAATGAGAGAGAAACATCGATCAGCCGCCTCCTGCACACCCCCCACTGGGGATGTGCCGGCAACCAAGGCGCATGCCCTTGATTGAACTCGAACCCGGTACCCTTCAGTCCTCAGGCCGATGCTCTATCTATCCACTGAGCCAAACCGATCAGGGCTCTTAAGCATGTTTGAATATTGCTTTTTTTTAAACAAAGTTTGTTTTTCAGGTGGCTGCAAGAGGACTAGATATTTCCAATGTGAAACATGTTATCAATTTTGATTTGCCAAGCGATATTGAAGAATATGTACATCGGATTGGCCGTACGGGACGTGTAGGAAACCTCGGTAAAGTGTTTTTAGTTGATGATCTGACACAAAATACTAGAACACTAATTTTCAAAGGGCACCTGGACCCCTTTAACATCAGTTGTCATACACTAAACGTTTTTGTTTTAATTTCTAAGGGTTTAATTGAAATAATGTTAAGTTTTTATGTTTTACATGTTTAACAATGCAAGGCTACTTTATGGAAACCTACATTATATGTTTTTTTTGTTGTTTATTTTTCACTCTTATAGGCCTTGCCACCTCATTTTTTAACGAAAGAAATGTAAATATTACAAAGGACTTGTTGGATCTTCTTGTTGAAGCTAAACAAGAAGTGCCGTCTTGGTTAGAAAATATGGCTTATGAACATCACTATAAGAGTAGCAGTCGTGGACGTTCTAAGAGGTACAGATTGTTTTGAGCCTTTATTCTCACTGCTATTTACACTGGAAACATAAGAGGAATTGACCACAATGGAAAATGGGTTGAAAAATCAGAAATTGGGATTTAGGGGAGTTAGATGTGTGAATTTTCATTCTCATAAACCATCACACAATGTTTTTCTTCATAGTAGATTCAGTGGAGGATTTGGTGCCAGAGACTATCGACAAAGTAGCGGTTCCAGCAGTTCTAGCTTTAGTAGTGGCCGTGCAAGCAGCAGTCGCAGTGGTGGTGGAGGTCACAGCAGCAGCAGAGGATTTGGTGGAGGTAATGTGAATTTTCCTCTTTTATAACTTTGGAAGAAGCTTTTGCCCCCTTACTTTTTGGTTTTGTTTAATCTTACCTAAGGACTTTTTCCCCCATTACATTTCAGAAGTAGTGGGAGGGAGGGATGAGAGAGGTCCAGGGTAAGAGGGAAACATTAATATGAAAAAACATCGACTGTTGCTTCCCAAACATATCCTGAGTGGGGTGACTGAGCAATTCTGTAACTCGGGTATATATCCTTGACTGGGAATCAAATCCATGACCCTTTGGTGTGAGGGTTGACGCTCTATCCTCTGAGACACACTAGCCAGGATTCACTTACTTTTTCAATGTGATAGTGAAGAAATTTTATTCCCAAAGAACACAAAATCCAATATAGTTTTTTTCTTTGAGCCTTAAAAGTACTTGAGAAACAAGGGAGATAATTACAGTGGCTAACCTAATCTCTCTTTAAACATTTTTTAATAGGTGGCTATGGAGGCTTCTACAGTAGTGACGGATATGGAGGGAATTATAACTCCCAGGGGGTTGACTGGTGGGGCAATTAAACCTGCTCTACAGTCACATCACCCCTTTAAACAAGTTAATATGGAAACCACATGTAACTTAGCCAGACTGTATTGTGTAGTTTAAGAACTTTCAGTACATTACCAGCCGTGATTCTCCTGAAAAGCTATGGAACATCAAAGTCACAAGAAGAAAGGAACAATAACAGCCCCATTCAGAAGTTGGTTGAAAGACTTAATCGCGCTAGCTTGGATTAACTCCCATCCTGCTCATTTTCCATCCCAAGCTGCATTTATAATTTTGTGACTGAGAATCATTTGTTTGTTAATATACTGTAACTTTAGACAACTTATTATTTTGATGTTCTGTTTGGCTGAGTAATACTCAAGGTATCAATTGTTTTGACAAAATAAATTTCTGAACTTGGGCTAACACCAAACCTTTGCATAAAGCTGTGATAAACTTAATAGGAGTTACCAATTTATCAGTAAGTATTACAGATTAAAAATAATTTAGGCAGTAGCTTCTTAGGACTTTTTGGATATTTACTTGTAGACTGGGAAGAAGAACATCTTAAGCAAAATTAGTTTCTAATGTGCCCAAATGAACTATGTTAAAGTTCTGATTGACTTCTCATTCTGTCATGGGTAAGCACTTAGAAACTTTGTAGTAGTTAAATGTCATTCAGTCATGATGAAGTAGCAGGTACGAATATATCCATGCATTTTCAAAGCACTCTTCAAAATGAATGCAAGTAAATACAGCAATTCCTCTTTCAATGTTTATTAATTGTAAGCTATGCGAGTGTGGGCGTACTATTATAGGGAAAGTTTAATGTTTGATTTAAAAAGTGTTTTGAAGGAAATTAGATTATTTTAATGCCTGCGATAACTAAAATTGAATTGGTAGAATGGCTGACCATGAGCATTACCTTGTCCTCTTTATGGACCTGGTTGGATTTTGGTCTGAAGTGCATGCTAGTGTTGTTTTTTGGTCAAGACTATATAAGCAGGGAGAATTATGCAGCAGGCTTTATTTAATGCAGATTCAGGTTACTCTGTTGAAGCTGTATTGAAAGGTTAAAATGGCTTACACTTGTAGACTTAAATTTTAGCAAACAAATTCTTGAGATCCCACAGGCTGGAAATAAGTACTAAACTGCACCTGATGTTATTGCTATATGGTGCACTTTTAGTCTTCCTTTAGTTGCATAGGTTTCCATTGTACTTATATTCTCTTTGCTAAATTTGGCCAAAGATGATTGTCCATCACTAAAAATGCCTCTGCCATTTGGAATTCTATGCTGATTTTATAGTTAGAAAGCAGTGATATTTACAAACTAATTTTTACAGTTGCATAAGAAGGTAAAATTTTCTTAAAAGTGCAATAGATTTTTCAGGAGTATTGTGCCTTGTTCTAAAACTTTAAGTAGACAGTTGACAGTATTAAGGTTATTTGTTACGGTGCTATTTCAATTGGTATATATTTAGACTTTTGTATACTTTGCCCATAACTTTTTACAAAGCACTTATTTTATTGCACATTCAGAAAATTTTATATATATATGTATATATATATATATACACACACACACACACACACACACACACCACACACATATATATATATGTGTGTGTGTGTGTGTGTCTTGTTGTATGTGTCCTTAAACTTCCAATCTCATTTTATCTCTTGGAGATTGTTGAATGCAGTTTATAAACTAGATTGTAGAATTTTATTTGGGACCATGGAATGATAGTTATGAAGAAACTGTTTGCACATGAAAGATTTTAGATACTTTTTGCTGCTAGTTTGTATAATATTTATTGAACATTTTGACAAATATTTATTTTTGTAAGCCTAAAAGTGATTCCTTGAAAGTTTAAAGAAACTTGACCAAAAGACAGTACAAAAACACTGGCACTTAAATGTCACTGTATGTGAAATAATATATTTTGGGATAGTGTGAACTTTCAATGTTGAGTCCTGTTAAACTTGAGTTCTTATTAAGCAGACCCAGCATTGGCTGTGAGGTTCTGACAAAATTTAAAGTAAAATTGGCAACTTAAAATTTTCTAAGGTTTTGATACACTTGTCTTAAAAATATTAATGATACACCTTTAAATACTGGTAGGAAGTGTCCACATTCTCAAAGGTTTTGAGTTTTGTTTAATGTGCGTGGTTTTTTTTGGTTTGGTTTTCACTTACTGTCTGGCATATTTGCAGTCCTCAAACATGTGGTTACCTTTGTAATTCCATAATGTGTGACTTTTACATTCCTTTTTAATCAACCAGTAAATAAGGATTGGTTTAAACTTGCTGAGTGTAGTCATTGGATATGAAGTCATTGTAGGTTTTGTAGTTGTTTATTGTATTAGTTTTAGATGCTAGCACTGAACGTGCTTTGTTTATTCTGGTTTTACTAAAATAAAAAGTTGAACGCAATCTTTTTGCCATCAGTTGTGACTTAATAAGAGAGGTAGAAAAGTCATTACACTCTAAACCTGAGGAATTGGAAATGTTTTGTTATTGGATATTTATTCATTATCCACCAGAGCTATTTGTGGAGCAAGAAGTACTCTTGTGCTTTTAAGGTTGAGATATGTGAAGCAGAGTTTTTATTATAAGTCATAGAAATCTTTAAGGCTCAGATTTCTGTGACTTATAAGATGCATTGCATTAATCTGTAAAAGGATCAAGAACTAATTGGAGCAGGTCATTTATGCCGGAGATGATATAGGTACCCAACTTTGATTTCTAATGTTGGTTAGTAATCCATTATTATCACAGTGATGTAGGCAGCTTTATGAATTAACAGATAAGAGCCAAACCAGGTTATAAGAGCCAAACCAAGTTAACATACATGAAAAAGTAAAATTTTTTAAGGGAATCACCCTCAGTGTTTTTTTGTGTCCCCCTTCTTGCAACTAACTTGCCATCACTGTAAAGAGTAGGTACTATTCTGATGTCTAACAGTGTAGTTGGCTCTCTTCTGTTGCTATGCTTTGTATATAGTAAATTATAATTTATATCATACAGGTTCTTTCAGCATTATATCTGAGATAACATATTGTCTGTAGTTAGTCTTGTTTTTTAAAAATATATTTTATTGATTTGAGAGAGAGAGAAACATCTTTGATGAGAATCATGAATCGGCTGCCTCCTGCACGCCCTACTCTGGGATCAAACCCAGAATCCAGACATGTGCCCTGACCTGGAATCGAATGGTGACTTCCGGATTCATAGATTGACTTTCAACCACTCAGCCAACTTTGCTGGGCTTTTAGTGTTTTGATTGCTATGTAGAACTATGTTAGATGCTGAACATCTGGGTTGAATGCAACATGGATTAGTGGGAATTGATAGCAAAAGAACAACTTGGAGTTAGTGGATGGGAAATTACTGAGAAAAGAAAATTGAGATAAGGATGGGGGAATTCTGCCTAGCCTAACAAATCTTGGTGATAGCAGACCAGAGTTATTAAACAACTAGAGGTCCGGTGTACAAAAATTCGTGCACTCCTGTAGGGGAGGGAGGGTTCCTCAGCGCAGTCTGGGACCCCTCGGGAGATAACAACCTGCTGGCTTAGGCCTGCTCCTGGGTGGCAGAGGGCAGGCCCAATTCCTAGGTGCAGCCCCTGGTCAGGCTCGGAGCAGGGCTCATTGGGGAGGGTGTGGCACCACCCCCTGTCATGAACAGAGCAAGGTGGATAGGGAGGTTGTGGCCTGCCCCCTGTCACAAACACAGCCGCAGGGCGATCAGGGGGTTTGGGCGCTGCCCTCTGTCACACTGATCCCGGTGCCGGGACGCCTCTCAGCTCCACTGATCCTAGTGCCGGTAGGCCTCTCAGCTCCGCTGATCCCGGTTTTGGGAGGCATATTACCCTTTTACTATAGATAGAGGCCTGGTGCACGGTTGGGGGCCGGCTGGTTTGCCCTGAAGGGTGTCCTGATTCAGGGTGGGGGCCCCCTCTGGGGTGGCTGGCCGGCCCGGGTGAGGGGCTGATGGCTGTTTGCAGCTGGACACACACCCTTCAGGGTGGAAGTCCTCACTGGGTGACTGGCCAGTCTGGGTGAGGGGCTGAGGGCTGTTTTCAGGCTGTGACTGAAGCTCCCAACCGCTCCTTTATTTCTTTTTTTATTCTGGGCCAGCTTTAGCTCTGAGGCTCTAGCTCTTAGGCCTCCGCTGCTGAAAGCATGTTTCTAACCTTGGTTTACCTTCTGTATTTGAAACAATGTTGCGATCCTGCTGGCTGAAGCCCAGCGACTACAGCGGGTTTTGGGGTTTTGTTTAGCTTCTATATTTGTAACATAGTTGCTTAGAGTTGCAGCTTAGAGGCCGGCAGCGGCAGGCGGGGAAAGGTGGGGTCCTCCCTTCCTTCAGCA